TCCATCAGGTCTCCTAGCCCCTAAGAGTTTCTATCTCTCTAAGCGAGGAAATAAATACAACACTATTTTGGCTAATTTGCTTTTGTGCTAAGGTATCTAGGGAAACCAGTCACTAGGGCACATCAAGTCCCCTAATCTTGAAACCAACCTTACTCTCAATCACTTTAATTGCTATTTAAATATTTAAAAACCACATAGAATGGGGGTGACTTATACCCCTAAACCACAACCGCTGAACACAAGGAAGCATCCTCATCTCTGACCTGTGCCCCCCCTCAGCCCACTCTTCTCCGGGCTTCTCACCAGCCATGCTCATCTTCTCCATTGCTTCCAAAACCTCATTCTATCAGGACTCCACTGTTCTCTGTGTCTTTAAAATATACTCAGCCAAAACAGCCCAACATCTACAGCATGCATAGACTGTTTCACCTTCATCTTCCTTTCTCTAGTCTAATTGTTTTCAGGTAATTACTGGTAATTCTTGCATGATTTGCAGTTACCTATAGCTTATGGGGGGTTGGTTTATTTTGTTTTGTTTCTTTTTCATACCTGAGACGCATAGAGTGTACCCGCTACCAATCGTATCTACTTAGTATCCAGATAGTAAACAGATTGAGTTTTCAAATGGTAATCGTGATTTGTTGATTTGGCAAGTGTTAACATTCCACTACATATCCAGCATTGTGCCAGAAATGGAGAATTCATAAATCAAAACAAATGAAAGTTTAATGGGAGAACAGAAATGGACCCTGGGTCTCCGCCTGCAATGTAGCCAGCGCGTACCTCTACTGTGTGTTCTGTTATCTTTCCATATTGTGTTAGTGCTGCGTGGCTGTGGCCCATCACTTTGGCATTGGTATCTCTGGGACTGAGGGATGGGTGTTAAGGAACCATGTTCTTAGGGTCTGGCAGCATTCTCTGCGCATACTAGGTTCTTAGAGAATGCTTGGAATGAACTAGACTGCAGTATAATTTGAAAAGTGTTACTTTAGAGCCTGTATGGGGTGGTGTTAGGAAGACAGGAGAGGGGTTTACCCAGCATACTTTTCTGCTTCTTGGCTAGGATAAGCCCTTGTGGCCCTGTGACTGCCCCATTGGGTTGCATTTGGCCACAGTTTCACTTGGACAGTAATTTTACTTAAACCGATATTGGCAGTCCTCAGTTGGTGGATTGCATTTTTGAGGGGGCACTGTAATTAAGACGCGTGTAAGTTGGCTAAAGTCGGTTCTAACATTCCGAACAAGGACTTAAAACACATACTTTCGTAGCAGAGGTCTATGCTTAGTAAATTTTGATATACCTATTATGCAGTATAAAATTTTCAGAGGGTAAACCAACTGTTGTATATTCCCATTGGCATGCAAATGGTGTGTTTAACCCATCACATTTATGTTTTACAAAGAGGTTTCCAAAAACACACATGAGAAATGGTTAAGAGAGTATGGTTCTTCCTGTAGAGTGATCCTAATACGACTTTAGGGGAGAAAGAAAATTTCTGTATGTCCCCCAAAACTTTTTTTTAATGTTTTATATTTTTATTTAGAGTGACTTTTGTGTGTGAAAAGACGAACTAATGAAACTGAGATGCATCTTAGTAAATTGAGGGGAACATGCGTATGGCTTATGTGGTTCTGGGGGAGTGGTTCCTGGCTGAGTATAGGACTGTGGGGTCACCAAGAGATGACCCTCCTGGAGACATGGGGACCTGGGGCCAGTGAGACAGGTTTCCAGGAAACAAAGCACATCAAGGGGTAATTTCTGGGGAAAGCGGCTCACCCATGGCTAGTTAGAAGGTCAAAATGTAGAGCTGTAGGATGAATCTCTGATGGAAACTGTGTATCCACAGAATCCAGGAAGACCAGTAGAGTTCTACATGTGTGCACTTAGTGCCAATCAAAGCTTTTTAAAGAGTGCGTTATTGCACAGATGATACTATAGGGTGATTCTTTTTTTTTCTTAGAATGGAAGGGAAAGTGTTACCTGGCAGAGTCCTGGTAAACCGAGGACCCAGCAAGAAATGGTTAAATGAACATTGTAGTTAGTTTGAAGGTTACAGCAAATTAGGCTCCAGGTTTATGTGTTCCCAAATCTGGAAGGTTTGAGACATGATCTGCAATGTTATTTGCTTTTCCCTGTTGAAATCAAAAGGGTTGTTCCAGAATGTTAAGGACAAGGCGTTTTGTTTGTAAACCTAGGTAGTTTATTCAATTGTATGCACTTAAAATGATCATTTCTGTTATTTTCATCATATAAGCAAATTACAAATGTAATTGTTCCATATGATTTAGGAACACATAACACTTTTTGACATTTGACAATTCTACTGTCCCTCCCTGAGATTAGCTTCTCTATGAACTTTATCCACACACACATGCATGCACACCCTTCCTTATATGTCTTTGTTGTATCATGTTACATACAATTTGTAGCCTGCCCCCCCTTTTTTCCACTTCACAATAGGCCTTAGAACTTACTCGAAGCCATTGCTTATAATTCCCAGTGTGCTTTTTAATGGTTACAGTATTCTGCTATTGGCGTATCACTTGTATCAAATTTGAGAGTGCATAATTAAGCTTTGCCCTAGCTGGATCTACGCCTGACACCTCCCCGAGGGACTGCAAGGAGAATGATAGGCACTCGAGAAATTCTGCTTTCGTGAAGTTGTATCAGAGCAAGGAATGGAGTGAGGGATGGGAGCTTTAAAGGAACAATAAAGATCAGCAAAAACATCTCGTAAAATTAATTCCAAATGCTTGCTGCTGTAACATTTTTTTTTTTTGGCCAAAAGACTTAACTGTGCAGAACATATTTTAAAGCCAAATCAGACCTTGTAGGTAATGACTGATTGATGAAGTGTGGAGTCTTCCTATATTTAAAACAATATAGATTGCTCTTTTGGTTTCCTTTTCTCTCTTCTGTTTCTTCCGTTGGAATGTTTATCGTGTCTTGGGAAATAATTCTGTAACGGAGAAGGCTGCTTGCCTCTTCAAAAAAAAAACATAGCAAGAAAGCCAACAATTTGTGGACATACTGGTCATGTAGTTTGACCATGATGGAGAGGCTCCTGTCCAGCTGTAGGCCTCTGTTTATTAAAATGTAGGCTACAGCGTTTAAGACTACAAATGACCCTGTAATAGGGTAACAAGCTATATACTTTTTATGCCCACTGGTTTCTTCCCCCAGTGAAGAAGCAATGTCATAATTTACTGGTTGCCTTTAACCCATAGATACTTTGTGTTCTGGTTCTACGTTTGGTGGTATTCGGTTTAGGTGCCCCATGGTGGTCACGTAATGCACAAAAGATGGGTATAGAGTCAAAATGGAAAAGCAGGGACCTGCCCCCCCTTTTTTTTGCTTATAGCTTTAAAGTTACCATTATGTAATGTATTTTAGACAGCTATTTAGCCTTTTGCTAATTTCTGGAATCATTTTATCAATGTTTAAACATTTAAGCACAAAGGGACTTTTTATTTTGGTTATATTTTCAACTCCAATGCTCTTTTTTTCCATTTTTTTATTTTTTTTATTTCATTTTATATTCCGACCACAGTTCTCCCTCCTACCTGTCCTCCCCCTCTGCCTACTCCCACCCTCCTTCACCTCCCCCATAGCTCACCCCCCAGTCCTCTCCTCCTCTTGGGTAAGGACTCCCATGAGGAGTCAACATAGTCTATCACAATCGCTTGGGGGTAGGGCCAGGCCCCTCTCCCATGCATTAAGACTGAGCAATGGCATCCCACCATCGGGAATGGGCTCCAACAAGCTAGCTCATGTACCAGGTTTGTGCTGTGAGTAGTGTGAAAGGATTAACTCTAATTATCTTCTCAGTTTGTAGGAAACATATGACTTAAGTCTTTTCAGAGTCCTTGTGACACTGAATGTAATACCGGGCCCTGTGGAAGGATGGGCGTGATGCTGTGGAGTTTGCATATCTCTTTGGGTACCAATGATCAGCAACAGTTAAATGTGGTGCAAATAACAGTTCACTACAATCTGCCGAAACCCTGGTCTTTGGATTAACCAACCTGCCACCTCCTTTGCTGTCCTCTCCAGGAAGCATACTCATTTCTACATGTGCCTGCCACTGATGTCTTGCACAGATGTCACTGGCTTTTCTGGAGAATCTGAATGTAGAATTCAAATCTATTAATGACTTTCTTTAAAAACTTTGTTGGAACATCATGTCTTTTGGTTGAAACATATTCCCCATTGGCTCTATCTGTAGATTTCATATTATGTATCAGTAGATTTATGTTATTGTACATGTCTACCATAATCTTGAAAGGAGACCGGATTTAGGGAGAAGCCCAGTCAGAACCAAAGCAGCTGCTACTCCCTGTGAGACTTACTGTCTCTCAATTCCCAGAGTCCTCATTTACAAGTTAGGACTCCACCCAACTGGGAAGAGTACATGGAAATGTATATAAAGGCCTTTGTGCAGTGAAGTTTCCTCAAAATGGCTCAATCCCTCCTTTCCCATACCCATGTCATGTCATTCTCTGAAAAAAAAAAAGAAGATAGCATTGACCAGTACTTCAGGTAATGCTGCAGGCATGTAAAAATACTTTGAAATTTGAGTTCCTAAGTCACTGACTATCTTCAAACAGAAACCACTGATTAGAATTCCCACGCTACTTCCCATTGCGGAACTCTGAAAGGCAGTGCAGATTTCAGTCTTGGAGGTGATGTAATTTGTAGTAGGAGAATATTCCTTATAGTCATCTACTTTAATCCCATTTGGACTTCCAAACTTTTCTGGAGTCTCCTGCTGCCTCAGGCCCTTGGCTGGCACTCTGACTTAACTTACCAATGTAGAAAGCTGTTGGAGGAATCAGGCAGGGGTGAGTTAGGATGCTAATAACATTAGAAAATAAAGGCATTGGACATGTGTTTCTCTGACTGTTAGTATTTTGGCTAAGGTAACCAATGAGTTTATGTAATGTGATTTGTAAAATGCACGACATCCCTTAACTACCTTTTTTTCTCTTTGAAATTGTAGGATGCAGAATAGAAAACTGTGACTCTTGCTTTAGCAAAGACTTTTGTACCAAGTGCAAAGCAGGCTTTTATTTGCATAGAGGCCGCTGCTTTGATGAGTGCCCAGATGGTTTTGCACCATTAGATGAGACCATGGAATGTGTAGGTGAGTAGGTCTTAATTCAACTCTCTGATTGCAATTTTCATGCCTATTTGTAAAAAATATATTGGATATAGCCAACCTAAAAATATGAGTTATATTGTTCATTAGAACTGAAAAGCCAACCTAAAAATGAGTTATATTTATATTGCTCATTAGAACTGAAAGGGTTTGTTTGTTTGTTTGCTTGCTGATTCTAAGTAGTTTAGATATTATGATGATGTGTATCTTCGTCCCAAAATGTGCTACTTATGTATTTGCCCAGTTCGCCTACTTACGGGGCTGACACAGTTCATCATCTGTAATATACCCATTTCCTACTATCCTAAAAAATTATTGGTACTTGCCTTAGCTTGGGTTCCTATTGCTTTGAGGAGACACCGTGACCATGGCAACTCTTACAAAGGGAAATGTTTCATTGTAGTGGCTTCCAGTTTCAGAGGTTTAGTCTGTTGTCATCATGGTGGCCCATGGTGCTGTGCAGGCAGACATGGGGCTGGAAAAGGAGCTGAGAGTTCTACGTCTTGATCCACAGACAACAGGAAGTGAGCTGTGTACTGGCTGTAGAGTGCTCATATGTGAGACCGCAAGGCCTGCCCCTACAGTGAGGCACCTCCTCCAATAAGGACACACCTATTCCAACAAGGCCACACCTCCTAATATTGGGGCTCCCTACGGCCCAAGCATTTAAAGTCATGAGTCTGTGGGGGCCAAACCTATTCAAACCACCATGGTACCATTAGAGAAAAGCATTTTATGTAGGAGAAAAAGGAAACTTCCAGGTGTTGTCATGCCACACATTCTGTTGCCTTAGCCATGCAAATAAATGAACCAAGGTGCATCTTGTTTAGCCAACTGTGTACAAAGAGGTTGCAAGAATATTCTTCTGCCCAAATATACTTCCTTGGTGACTGGCTGCATGTTTACGTAGCTCGTTAAAACAGTTTTGGTGTTGATTGAATGTTGGATGTATAGAATGTATACTTTACCATACGTACTGTGAAAAAAATAATCACACGTTTTCGAAACCTCATATGAAGTTTATACTTCAGTGTTTATAAGTCACTGTGGGATTTGTGTGTGCCACTGGTTAACAGGTAAAGTGACAAATATGTGGATTTGATCTTAAATGGAATTTCATGCTCACCTCCCTCAAATTTTACTAGATGCATACACATCTAATTTGATATGAAACAGAGCTAGGAATCATCAATTAAGTGCATGGCAAGCCATAAATGGAGTGATTTTAAGATAGATATTGACAATTTTTTTCTTTAGAAATATTGCTGAAGTATTTCACCATGATAGATCAAAAGTTTTGTGGAGGAGCATTCACTTAACGTTTTATAATTTATAATTACAATATTTATGTTTGAGTTAGTACATGCAGCTTACCACCCAACTGAAAAATGAAAAAGCCACTAAAAACATATGAGTGTGGTTTTAGCTTCTGAGAAGCAAGAATCACACCCACTGTGAACTGTAAATGGAAAGGTCTAGAATATTCCATGATAGAATCCTGTGCATCACCCTGTATAATAATTTTAAAGGGGTTTGAAAAAAACATGGAATTGTCTCTGATGCCCACTGAGATTGAAAACACGGTGTATCATGTGGGAACTCCAGGCTGGGGTCCTCAGGTCTCATGTGAGGAGTTTTTCAGTGGCCAAGTCCATGAGGAGACCCAACTCTGCAAGCTTTACTGTGCTATTCCTGCCAGTACCACTGCTCAATAGTCTTATAAAAGGGACACTACATGATGTCTACATGTGGGAAAATAGTGTTTTTACATCAGATATATGTTAATTTTTAAACTTGTATTATATGTCATGGGTACAGAGGTTAAAACAATACAAGAATAGATAAAAGTAGGCAGAATCAGAAACCACACACACACACACACACACACACACACACACACACACACACACACACACTATGTTGCCAACCTCCAAGTACTTGTAAAATAAAGCAAACACAGTCATGGATTTGTGGTAGGGCATACAAAATTAGCCTGATAGATGGTGGCTTCCACCGTGGCATGAAAACAGTGCCTTCTCTTTTAGAGATGATAGAGTTTTGCATTTAGGACTGGCCAGCAGTATCCCTTCCAAAGCATGACAAATGGAAAGCAACAGCTCCTTCATTACTTCTGCGGTTTTTGTTTGTCTAAGCTGCCAGTGCTCTATGATTTAAACAACCTTAGTTCTAGACAGATGAGTTCAGATCCTGCGGGGCTACATAAACTGGTTTTTTAAATATATATTTATGGTGGAGGTAATGGATAAACATAGTTGTATAAGTTTTATGTGAAATGAATTGTGGATGCCCAGCTGCTGTCTCTGTTTGTACTTGTTAAATCTTTGTCAGAAGGATGTGAAGTCGGCCATTGGAGCGAATGGGGACCGTGTAGCAGAAACAACCGCACTTGTGGATTCAAATGGGGCCTGGAAACCAGAACACGGCAGATTGTTAAAAAGCCAGCAAAAGACACAATACCATGTCCAACCATTGCTGAATCCAGGCGATGCAAGATGGCCGTGAGGCACTGTCCAGGAGGTGGGTTTAACTAATCACTCTCTCATGCAGTGTGCTTTCTGAGTTTCCCCGCTCCCTCGCCTCCTTCCCCCCTGCAAATGCTATTTATCTGCCCATGATGGAAAACTGATACTAACAATGGAGAGGAGATAAAATTCTATTTGGGAAACAAGTACTTAAGTTTCGATGCATGCAGAGTGGACATTTAATTTGTCATCATGATATTTGAAAGATAACTTGAAGGAGTATGAGTGTGCTTCCTAAAATGAGAGTTTTGAAAGTGTTGGTTGCTTTATTGTGAGTGTGTCTTCTTTTAAACGTGCGCTTGTGAAACCTTGCCTTTGCAGATGTTGCTTAGAAGGAAGAGGCCAGCTTTCAGTGGAGAAGCGCTTAGGCCAGGAAGGGTTACGGAATCTGTGAAATCATTGGCATCATTACTAGTTGGAGATGACAGCTTAAAATAAACTTACCCAAACACTGGGAGGAAAAAGCCCTGTCTTAATGTTACCACAATTAGCCCCTTTTCTTTGTTTTGATAATAATTTGTAGAAAACAGCTACTGGTATGTGTGCGTTTAACTCTTTGTAATAATTATACTGCAGTCATTATTCTATAATAGCCAGATCCGGCTCATTCGGAGATGAGTGCTTAGCGAGTTGTTGGACAACACAGAATCAGGAGGCCAAAATCTTGTGTGCATGCATGCGTTTGTGTGTTGTATATACATGTGTGTATATGCACATGTATGTACATTTGCCATCTCCCTTGATTATTTCCAACCTTTCTAAGACGTGGTTGCTTATTGACCTGGAACTCACTATTTTGGCTAGACTGGCTGTTCAGCAAGAGCTTAGGGCCCTCTGTCTCTGTGCACTCTCCCCAGGGCTGGAGGTACTGACATACCTGACTTCTGTGCTTGCTGAGTACAGCAACTTAGGTCTTTGTGCTAGCACAGTAAGCATGTTACCGACCGAGCTGTCTCGCCAGCATCTTGATATGGAACTTTCACAATGCTACCATGCTTCTTAAAGCCCTACTCACTTGTTGACATTCATTGATGATATCACTAGCCCAAGCCATGCCACCACAGATGAAACTGAGATTTTTTTTTAACGTACGAATAGAAAACCAAAGCAAAAAGCAGGTTGTGTTTGGAAAAGGGCCCCATAAAATAATCCAAATTTTGGGTTGCCCCTTTCTCCCCACTCACCCTCTGTTAGTGTGTAACTTTTCAACTTTTTAACTGTAACCCAGAGACATGTAGATGCTAAAATGGGTTGATACCCACATTCTGCTGCCATGTAGAGAATGTCTATGATCCATAGAGAAAGGCGAAACCCTCAAGACTCCAGCTGCCCTCTGCAGACTATTAGACCCAGATCCAGAAGCTCCTGTGGAGGAGGCAGCCTTTCCTCTTGAATTAGTCTTGCTTTTCCTCACTGGGCCTTTGAAACAAGGTTTTTTTCTGGGCGGGGGGGGGGGAATCTGCTTTGTACTAACAAGGATGGTTTTGTTCACTTAAAGTGGGTATTTTTCAGTCAAAATATAAGAAAATATTTTCTTACAAAACTAATAAGCCACTTCTTGGATAGCTGAGAGCATTTAACCTGCAACCTTTGGCCTAAAAGCAAACCTGATGTATTCAGGTATCGAAAAGAAAGACGTTCTTTGTTGCATATTATTTATATAGCCGGCCCCTCCCCCCATTCCCTCTTTGAGCTACATGGTCCGTCCGGCAATTGTGGTTTACGTTAATAGCAAGAATTAAACTGAAAATATTCTTGTAACAAACATGCTTGTGTGTAACAAGAGACCAAACACTCCTCTACAACACCCCTTTTCAAGTCTTTTATTTTGTCCTGAGCTCAGTCATGATTGAGAATTTTCTAGAGAGCAGATAGGTCATTAGTTGTAATATTTACCACCTTTCCATTGATCGTGCTATCAATAGTTAGCATCTTAATGAAATGTGCTCGACTCTACTGATAATTTAAATTGTGCCACAAAAAAATCACTTAAGCCCGATTTTCTAGTTTCATTCTCCTAATAAATAAATCAGAGATAGATTCTAGTTCAAACTGTACTTAGGTTTTAGCCATATTTCAACTGTTAAGCTTTTCTTGTCTAAATTTAGTCAAATAGTAAACACACTTGTGTTTACTTATCACAGGGTTTCAAACTTGTTTCGTTTGATATAAAGGAAAATAAATTGGTAGACATTAATGGCTCTGCAGTAAAGTGGGCTTCTATTTCCAAACGAAAGATATAAGAACTAAGGAATTAATTTTGGAATTTGGGCAGTGGCTGCTAAAAATTGGCATGACCTCCAGCAGAGAGTCCCACCTTGCCTCAGGTGAGAGAAGGGAAAGTCCCTTTCTTTGGCAGGTCACGCCGATTATGGAAGAATGGAGAAGAAAACCACTTTATCCCCCTTCCCATCTTGATTTGATTTCAGTGATCTGCTTTGACAAACCATGCAAAAATGTAAGTCGTAATCAGGTTGGGAATACAGGCATTTTTTTTTTCAGATCTTTTCAACATATGTATGGATTTTCCTCCCGTTGGAGCCAGTCTTAACCTGATTGCACTCAAACGCAGCCTCAGCCCCTTCCACACTGGGGCACAGACACATTATAATCAGCTGCTTTTGATTAGGGAAAGGCTACGGGTCAGCATCACGGAATGGCTGCTAAGTGCGTAAGATGCTACACTGAATGCTATGACGGGTATAGGAAAATGAAAAACTATAAAAGTAAAAATAACAACAAAAACATCTTGGCGTAGCGACCTGGCCTATTTCTTTCTTTACGAACACTGCTGATTTGTTTTGTGAGGGGGGGAAAAGGTGTGGGGGGAATTATAGAGAGATTTTAGTGTATGTATTTGTACTGAAGTGGCCATTCTTCATTTCCAAACTTCTCTTTTTTGGTCAGTTTCCCTTTCTCACATTGGGGATGAAACTTGTGAGTGTTCTTGGGCTTTTATATCAGCCTTTGGAGGTTTGGTCTGTGATCTGGGTTTCTACATCCTGTCAATTCATAACTTTGTTGACCCATGACAAGTCTCTTAACCCCTCTTGGCCTTTGTTTCCTTTTTTATGAAGTGAGGCACAAGGAGATCATGAGGATTCAGTTTTCTTCTAAACCCCAGTTTAGTTTAAGTTGCATATTAGGCAATATTTTAAGAGAAAAAGAAAAATGGGCTATTACATATTTGAATGACCAATGGGAGAACAACATCCAATTATTAAAGAATGGTGCTGGAAGATACCCACGTACAGTAAGAAATACTGTTATCTGTAAGTATGTTTAATTTTCTACTCTTTCAAGATTAGCAAATCTTCTTTCATATATATATATATATATATATATACAGTAGTAGCAGCAGTAGCAGTAGCAGTAGCAGTAGTAGTAGTAGTAGTAGTAGTAGTAGTAGTAGTAGTATGTGTTGGGGGGGTTGGGAACTTTGTGGACTTAATTCTCTCCTTCTACCTTTGTGCAAGGAAATTCACATTCTTGGCTTGAACAACAGATACAGCAGTTGTGTTGACTAAGTATCTCTCTGGCTCTGACAGCAAGTTTTGTTAGCTAGAGTTCCATACTGTTTATTGGTCTATTGATTAAAGAATTCCTGAGTTCTTCTTAGAAACAATAACCGTAGCAAAGAGGTAAATGGATGAACATATATAACTTTATGCACAGACATGAGCTGTACAGAAAAGTAGACCAGGACTGTGAAAAAGGGCTTTGGCTGAGATGTGCTAACTTATGTTTGACATTCAGAGAGCTCTGAAAATGATGTTTGGCCAGACATCTATGTAGTTGGAATTTTCTTTGGGCTGCCAACCAGCTCCCAAATAAAGACATGGAGACTTATTCGTGAATGCTTGGCCTTAGCTTAGGCTTGTCCCACTAGCTCTTTTAACTTAACCTGTTTCTAGCCATCTGTGTATTGTCTTGGGGCCTTTTACCCTTCTTTCTTTCTGTACATCCCACTTTCCTGCTTCTCCCTGTCTTGCTGGTTGGCCCTGGGCATCTATTTTTCTTTCTTCCCCAGAGCCTAAATTCCTCCTCCTACTTAGTCTCCCTGCCCGGAAGTCCTGCCTATACCTCCTCCCTCACTAAGGGCCATGCAGGTTATTATTAAATTAGTCAGATGCCTTAGGCAGGCAAGGTAAAGCAGCAATGCATCTTGCTGTTGTATTTTAAAGTACTAGTAAAGAAATCAGATAATGCTTCTGAATGTAGGGATAGAGAGCTGGAAGTTAAGTAGTTAAATAAATGCAGCACATCCTTACACAGCTAAATGAGTATCCCACAACAAATCTGAGTGAAGGTGATCATGTGAACATCCAAGACGCATTTGTCGTAGTTTGTTGACTCAACGAATATCTTAATATTCTTGATTCTCCTACAATATTTTGCGCAAGGGGCGGGTCCCAGTGAGTGCCAGTAAGGCTCTGACTGACTGATCCTTAAGAAGTTGTTAGTGGTAGAGTGAAGAGTAGAAACAAGGTCTTGCTGCTTGGGGGAAGCCCGAGTTTCTGGTGTCTGTTCCTTGTTCCTGTAGTGAAGCCTAAAGGTGAAACCATGACTGTCTTGAACAGTGATGTACCCAACATTCAGCTCTCTCTATTCCTCCATTCAGAAGTATCATTTGGTTTCTTTACTTGTATTTTAAAATGCAACACCATGCTACCTCCATTCCTTTCTGGTACCTTCCTAAGTAGAATAATTAGTGAGGGGAACCCCAGAGGTAAAATTTCATACGCCCCGAAGCGATGGCCACTAGCTGTGCTTTCTCATAACCTGTGAAGGCCCTCTTCTTTAATTTTGGTGTTGCTGGGATTCAGTTTGGAGGGGTATGTGACTTCAAGATAGGCCCTTTAATATTTAGTCCTTCAGGGTCAACTTTCTGGATGAGCCTGCTTGGTGTGTCAAGCCACATTTAGCACTCTTTGCCCTACATATGATTACTTTATGTCTGACATGGCTTTCTTGTTTCGTTCTGAGACTTCTCAG